GTTTCTAAGGGCTGATATGGCTGGCTGGCTGTATGACTGAACTACGGTGAGACACTAATTTTTCCATCTGACAGATCCTTAAAAATGCTGTCATCATTTAACCCCAGTAGGCAGCTAAGCACACCATGGCCACTCACTTGTCCCCCTCTCCCTAGCAGGATGGGGGGGGGGGGGGGGGGGGGAAAAAAAAAAGAAAACTTGTGGGTGAGGATAAAGACAGTTTAATAATTTTTTTAAATTGAAGGGGGGAAAAAAAATGGGGGAAAAGAAAAAAAACAACCAAGAAAAGCAAGTGATGGAAAAACAAATGCTCACGTTCAACTGCCTGATGCCAAGCCAGTCCCCAAGTAATGGCAGCTCCACCAGCTACCATCCCTACCAGTTTTTTTGCTGAGCACAATGTCATATGGTATGGAATATCCCTTTGGTCAGTCGGGGTCAGCTGTCCCAGTTGTGTCCCCTCCCAGCTTCTTGTGCATCTCCAGCCTACTTGCTGGTGGGGCAGCGTGAGAAGCAGAAAAGCCCTTGATGCTGTGTAAGCACTGCTCAGAAATAACAGAAACATCCCTGTGTTAGCAACTCTGTTCTCGGCACAAATCCAAAACATAGCCCTCTACAAGATACTGTGAAGAAATTTAACTCTATTCCATCCAAAACCAGTACAAATGCACACCAACAAACAATACAAGAGATGTTATGCTGCTGTCTCCAATAGGCCATTGAGGATGAAGGAGGAGATCCTGATGAAATTCCTGTGGCCTCAGAGCTGACCAACAAGAAAATGCCAAAAAGAACTAGCAAAGGTATGGAGTCTAGACAAATATTGTTCCGTTGTTTCCATGTAGCTAGAACTTAGCATACAATGTTGATTTCATCTATTTCATTAGTTTAATTTATTTTAAAAGTGCTTTTTCTTTTTTCAATATGGAAAATGGTAAAACTCTGTTGCATTAGATGAGACCGTAAGTTGCAGGTGTTTCTGTGCTTGTGACGGTGAGTGCAGAATTGTGTTGGATACGGAGCAAGCAGCTGCAGCATAGGCTCCTGTGGGAAGCTCTGCCAATGTATATTAAGGTGGCTTCACAACACCCCAGGTACTAATTTCCTTGCCATAACTTTATACATTTTCCTTTTTTCATAGAAGCCCTTGAACCTCCATCATCTCTGGGTTACATTTTTAGATGCAAGAAGTTACAGTAGGAATAATTAGAACCATTGTTGCATAAATAACAAATGTGTATAACTTTTGTTAGTGTCATATTTCATTTTATAATTGTATGTTATTTTGAAAATAAACTGTTCTAACAGAGCTCATTAGTGATTGAAGTATACTTTGCTTTAAAAATGTTAGATATTGTGTATGGCATGTTATATGTGGTTTATTTGAATTGCATATAGCCAGTTCTTAAAATATATTTTCTGAAACTTACTGGTAAGCTGCTTCCTTTAAGATAACAGGGTAAAAATACAGAAAGAGCAGTTGTTTTTGAATAACGATAAAAGTTTGCTGGTGACAGATGTGCCTAAATGTGATCTGTGTGTCCAGGATCTTAAAAGTGAAGACTAATTCTAGATCAGCTTATTTATTTAAGTAGTTAAATGGTAAGAGGGAAGTTTTTTTGTAACAATGATAGGGTGTTTCTTTTAAATGAAACACCTTCCTAGACGGTGTTGTCTTTTTTGGTATTGAAGTGTTGTGGAATGAGAGGAGTGTAGCTGTTGAAAAATGTAGCTGTGGTACTTCTAGTTCATGCTAGGCTGTTTGCTTGTATCGAGTGTCAAGTTGTCCTCTATTATATCCAGACAGACCTGGACTTCAGAATCAGGGTCCTAATGATTATTTGTTGACACAAACTCAGTGTTGAATAGATAATTCGTCAGAATAGATGTGTTCAAAATTTAGTGCTATATCTCACTTCAGTGGCACTATTTTTAGGAAGAAAACCAGAAGAAGAAGGTGTTGAAGACAATGGACTAGAAGAAAACTCCAGAGATGGGCAGGTAAGTGAAGTAATGATTGCTGTTACTAAGAATATGCATCATTTAACCCACAATAAATACACCTCTACTCTTTTTCTTTTTGTAGGAGGATATCGAAGCAAGTCTGGATACCTTGCAAGATATCGACATGATGGATATTAGTGTGTTAGATGAAGCTGAAATAGATAACAGCAGTGCTGTAGACTGTGGAGAAGACTATAGTCCTGAGAATATTCTAGATTCTCTGTCTGATAATAAAGACAACATTGAAGCAGAAATGAAAGAATTTCCAGATCAGCTTACAGAAAATGAGGTGAGTAGAGGTCTTTGTAAGTTTTCAGAAGGTATTTAATAAGTATATGGGCACATGAATGAGTTATTTCATTGTAATAGAATATAGGGCATGAATGTGATATGGATTCTATTTCACATTGACAGCTTTCATGTCCTACTTTTTGAGTGGCAAATGTTTTTGGACCTGTCAGAGGCTTGAAACGTTCACAGTAGATGGGTCACAGCCTTCTTTACCTTGCAGTAACATCTTTGCTTGCCTTGAAAGAAGCCTGACATTGAAATTAACACATTGGTTTCAGTGTTCCCTCTTCCTGTTTTTATGTGTTTAAGCGAATATATGCATATACCCAGCCATCTAGATATTCATATATATGGCAGGGGCGGGGAGGAGGAGTATGTTTTCAACTCGCCAATAATTCGGAAATCTGATCCAGTTCACCTGAAAGGCAGTTTTGTGGTGTTCTGTAAATCAGAGCTGTTGTGAATCGTGTAACCAATGAGCTTTGGTTGGGTCTTACCATCAGCTCTTAAGGAAGGAAGATTTTTTGGGGATGTGTTTTGTTATTGGAAAAGTAGAAACCTAAGTCAGCTTCATTTTTAATTTCTTTTTTCAGTTAGAAACTAAGGAAGTAAAAAAGTGGGAAACTGGAGAAACATGTTATGTACGCAGCAATCGCAGAAATGGGAAATACATGTCCTCTCTAAATAAGAGTAGCTTTGAGGTAGACAATGTCATGTTGAAATTAAAATGAAAGGTAACTGGGAGAAGATTAAATATAATCAAGAATGTTTATATGTTGCTTCTCGTTCTTGCATCACAGTCTGAAGTAGCAATTGAGATCTGTCAAATACTGGAAAATATTTCTTGTACTATTTCTAGGGAAAGCTGAATGCAGTAGTATTTCTCCATAATTTAATGTTACTTTTTGTAAGAAATCCTGTAATCCCTTTTTTACTCTTCCAGGAAGATTATGATGAAATTGAAAACAATGTAGATGCCTCTTCTTCTGTTTTAATTGAAATGAAGGTAAATTGAAAATGTACCTGTATTTCAGATTGTTATAGTCAGTATTTGCTTTGTGCTCATACTACAAAAAAGAAAACATGACCATAACATGAAATTGTAACAGAATCCAAGACATACATGATCTTGCTCAGAATATAGTCCGTCAAATGAGAATGCCCTCTGTGTTTTCCCTACTTTTCAGTTGGCTGTCAAGACTTCTTCCACTTTTGTGGCAAATAAAAATGGTCTTGTAGTGTTGATTTCTTCTTTCCCCTGCTGTTTATATCAAGTAGTAGCTGAGTTTGTTTTTCACTCTGCAGTTGATGTGGTACACAAAGATACTTTATTGGTCTCTTTAACATTCCAGGTTAAGATACAAGAATGCAGTTATGGCTGATATTTTGATTTGGGTCTAATATGCCAGAAAAGTTACCTATATAAAATACTCAGTTCCAGTGCATAGTGAAAAACGTGCTAAATGTAATAGGTGAATTTGTGTAGTGTTCAGTCTTGGGATTGGGTGGGGGGTTGCTATTATCCTGTGTTCCAAAGTACATTTTATAAAATAATCTCTCTGTGTTTGTTTTCCCAAACAGAAAATGGAGAAGCTACACTTGGAGCCAGGTACTGTTAAAGAAAAAATATTCCTGTCTTTTCAACTAATACTTTTTAAACCATTAACTGTTAAAAAACCAAGCAAACAAGCATAATTTGTATTATTTTTATGATGGACAATCCAGATCATGCAGGGTCATAGAGATTGGAAACCCAATCGTATCCCCAGATCTGTGAAGTGATGCTTGTCATCTTTGAAATATTTCCAGTGAAATGAAATGGTTAAAAAACCTGTTAAACTACATAAATGGTTTTAGAGAAGTTAATGATAGTTTAAAAGCTAAAGATTCTACTTGTAAACAGATCTTGTGATAGCACACACACCTTAATTCTGTTACTAAGTAGAGAGCAGTGAAAGCAATAAAAATACATTGTAGGGTATTAAAATGTAAAGATTAGTTACTGGATACAGAAGAAAGAAGAGTTTCTTCATGGAAATTTCATACAGATACTTTTCACTTTCTGGACTGCAAACACATTCATGCACCATCAGAAGATGCCCACTTCT